AACATATTTCACAGATGTCAAATGAATCCATCCAGATGTTCATACAAGCAAAATCAGTCTCCCTCATCCCTAAATTTGGCCTCGAAGAAACCTGAAGAATGACAAAGGGTTTGAAGCCATAACCCTTGTAAGAACCAAACTCCCATGGAGATCAAAGCAGCACACCAAAGCACCAAGATTGGGCCCTAAATTCTCGCATTTCAACACACAAACTCAAAACCAAATGGGAACAGAAGCCAAGTGAGGAGGATACCAGCCCCAGGAGGGACAGCAGGACGGATGAGCACTCTTGCTCTTGTGAAATGGTGGGGTGTCACGTGGGTGCTGCTGTCACGGCGGAGACTGTGATGGGTAACTGGGAGCCTAAACTTAAAGTTGTGAAGTGAAAACACGATTTTCAGGTCTGTACCCCAGACCTGTCAAGACTTGAATAATGTCATGAAAAGTACTATGGCTTGTGTCCAGATGTCCTCCTAAAGCCTTATGTGGTCATAGGTGGGCCTTTTTAGAGCTGGCTGTATCTAACCTGTGGGACTTTGGGATTGATTCATGGTGCAGTGCTAGGATCAAGGGCTCTAAGATTAAGGGTGTGAGGGCTACCAGCTCTAAGGCAAGTAGCCTGGATAAGATATGAGACAGAGAGCTGCTGGTCACTTGCTTGCTTTTGCCGCCTTCTGCCTGCCATGGACTGTTTCTCCTCTGCGATGCCCCGCTGCCATGCCACCCTGCCTTGGAGCCAGCCAATGATGAACTGAAACCTCTACAAACTGTGAGCCAAATAAACCTTTCTTCCTTTAACTTTTGGGTGTCTGGATGGATAGACAGATACATATATAGATACATAGATACATAACAGATAGATGAGACAATAAAAGATAAAGATGGAAGCTGGCAGGTAATAAAAAGAGTTAGATATATTGATAGATGATACATAGATAATAAATAGATGTCAGAGATGATAAGATGACAAAAAGATAAGGCAGACATATTGATAGATGACAGATGAATGCAAGTGCTGTCTAGATTATGAAAAGGTGCAAAATTCATGGAAGAAGTATCAATTGTATTTCCCCTCCACAGATTCTGAAGGAGTAATCCAATGGACAGATTGATGATCGACAGATACACAGACACTAACAGAGAAAGACACACAGAGATATTTAGAGATGACAGTTATGTGGACAGAAAATAGAAAGATGGATAGATGGACTACAGCGAAGTCACCCTCCAGAGTACCGCATGGTCCAAGAGGGCTGCTTGAAGCCCCACCATTGGTATGCAGAAAAGAGACAATAAGGCAAATAAATATGTTTCTAGCTAGATATTTCTTTTAAAGAGGCATTTCAGAACCCTTTTCCAATAATTCTATATTGCATTTAATGGGCTAGAAATTGGTTCCATGGTTACATTTGGCAACAAGGGAGCTTGTGGAAACATAGATGTGTCACTTGATATGCTCACTCAGGTGAAGAATTAGGTTTTAGTTAGCAGTTTAGTTAGGTTTAGTTAGTCGGGAAGAGGAGAGACAAGATTCAGGGGCCAAGGGCAATCTTTCGCAACTATGGTAGAAGGTGTCTGATGAGCATTTAAATTGTAGTGAGCCCCTGATGAGGTGCTGGACAAATGCCATGTGGTCAGCAAACTTGACCCTAATTTTCCTTCGTGCAATAGGACGGCAATCTTAATGTCTTGCATAACCCTGACACGTGCAGGCTAGGACTTCTGAGACTTGGGACCACTGCCATTGAGAGCTGGGTGCAGTTTGTTCCTGTGCCTCACAGGCTGTTTATCAGCATCTCTCCCCTCAACTCACTAAATGTCATGACTTCCCAGTCTCACTTGTGGCAACCAAAAATGTCTCTACCCACCAGGAAATATCTCCAGGCAGAAAAGTGCCCACCATGGGGGCAACAGCCTGCCTCAACCAGAGCAGGACACTAAGTTGCTCTGCTCTAGTATCAGTGGTTCAGTGAGGCAGGGGTGTGGTGAGGATGTGGTGCTGATTCTATTACGTGGAGCCCAGCACAGGAAAAAGAGCAGATTTTCCCAGTGAATAACAAGTAACGGTACCAAGTCACACAGGTAGAAAATGGGTTATGCTTTGTCGGCTTTTCTTCTCAACACTGCTGGCCAATAGAGAAATGCAGGTTAAAACAACACGAGATTCCATCTAATGGCAGAAAGAATAGCAATCATCAAGAAATCAAATAATGATACAAACGCTGGTGAGGCTGGGGCGGGGGGTGCTTTCTACCCTGTTGGTGGGAAGGTGAATGAGTACAAGCACTATGAGGTCAGTATGGAGATTCCTCAAAGCACTAAAACTGGAAATTCCATTTCACCCAGCCATTCCCCTTCTAGATATCTTCTCAAAAGAGTTAAAGCCATCATATTTCAGTGCCCCATGCACACCCATGTTTATAGCAGCATAACTTAAAACAGCCAAATCTTGGTAGCAGCCCACTTGCCCATGAACAGATGAATGGATAAAGAAAACGTGGTACTCATACACAGTGGAGTGCTACTGTGCTATAATGTAAGATAACTCCCCCGAGTCGTTTGTAGGAAAATGGATGTAACTTGAAACCATAACGTTAGGTGAATAAGATCAGGCACACACATGCTTAAATCTCACATGGTTTCTCTTACAGGAGAAACCAAAATTATAAACGAAGAGGAAAACAAAACTTGGTGATAGGAAGCAGGGAGACAGATCTTTGTCAAATGGGAAGGGGATCAAGAGATGGGTGAAGAGGGAGAGAAGGGGGTGAACAAAGGAATTAAGATGTGCTGTGTACACGCCCCAACTCCACATGACACATGTAAACATCTATTAATAAAAAAATGTTTAAAGAGATAAAGATAAAGAAAATGGTATTTAAAGTTGCTTCTCCACAGGCAAGCTACTGTAGGGAACAGTGATTCAAACCTTAGCATGTCCCACCGACTTGCTCAGTGATTGCAGGACCACCATCAAGTATGTCCACGCCTCCATTTCCCTATCCATGAATGGAATTACCCTCACTCACCATGAACCTCAGTGATTTAAGGACAAGAGGAAAAACCTACGCAGTGCTTCGTGAACCCCCAAAGACACGGATGCTGTCATTTTCTACACTTATATCCAGGGGCAATGGTTTTCAAAGGAGATAAAGTTTCATCGACACGTAAGATGCCTGCCCAGGGGTCTCCAAGGCTCCCCAGTAAAACACAACTCGCAAGTTTATGTCAGCTTTAAAAGGCATAGCAAAATTTCTGATGGAATGAGCCAGGACTTATTGATCGATGCGCGCTTTCAGGCAAAACAGAATTGATTTCGTTTCTTGTGAAATTCAAAGACTCAGTTCAGACTTCATCATTCCATTGCAAAGTGTGGTTTAACAATCTATGATCCCAGGAGTGCAATTTTCTTTCATTGCAATGTTTAAAAGTATCACAAATGAACATCTCTTTTCACAGTACCTTCAAGTCTGTAAAAAATAATTAATGTCTTGGTGGGCGAAGGAAAAAATTGGGTCTAAAGAAGAAACAATTCTGATATAACAAATTATCATTCACGTAATACCGAACTATACAAATGGAACCCAAACAAGACAATGCTCATGAGATTTGGTCAGCCTAGTGGCAAACTGTGTGTAGTGTACATGTGCAATACATGTATGTGTGAAATCTACATATTGCAAAACCTCATCTGCAATAAATAAGTTATCCACAATTCAAGTTGAAGAATAATCAATGTATCACTATTAGAAAATGTCTCATCAGAGCAAATGCTTAGCCTTTTACCTAAAAGAGTGAATGGATCAGAAACCAGGGATTTCATTTCTGCTCAAGTCCCACACAGTCATGGGATAGGAGTGTGGTTCAATGGTTAGAGCATTTGCCTAACATGTGTGAGGCCCTGGGTTTAATTCCCAGGACTGCTAAAAAGAAGACTAAGTTTATCTTCACCAAAGTATTTCACATTCACTCACTCACTTCCAAATACTGTTCAGTTTTTAAATAACACCCATGTTGTAGAGTGGCACAAGGCACTCATCATTGTGCGAATCCATCATTATACGCAAGTTTTGTGGGTTAAAAAATTCTACAATCATTTACTTTGAGATAATGTGTCTAGACTGTGTCTAAAAACATATTCTTCATAAAAATATTTTTCACAAATATACTTCAGTAGTATGTATCACATATCCCCTAAATTAAGTTTTGGTCATAAAATAATGCTCAATTTTATGCCTAATAGTAATGTCTATGAAATAGATCTTTGTAAATACTGTTATGATCCCAAAGTTGCTCTAATTATTCTCAGCAAGGTTTGTAAACTTTATTCATGTATATAGTGTATTTTAGACTGGATAAAGTACCACTGCATCATCCTGTGTGTGTGTGTGTGTGTGTGTGTGTGTGTGTATATTTAAAATTGTAGTGTTCCAGAACTGTGTAAGAAATTTACTTTAGCAATCATATGGGTGAGTCTAATGACAAAGTTTAGAGTATGTGTATGTGCATAGCAAAACATAAAAACATAAAACATAAAAGAAATTGCCGCTTAAATGATGAAGTTATTTAACCAGCAATTCCTATAAACCAAGCAAACAATATACAAAACAATGTAGGTATAAATACAATTCATTAAATATTGTGGCCTAACAATATTAAAAATTACAGAATCAAAAATTAAAAATTATATTAAAAATTACAAGAATTAAAAATTACAGAAAAAGAAAATAAAGTAGTATACAGAAGTATATATACCTGTATCTTCACTGCAGTGATGGCTGGACTAATAGACTATGCATGTGATAAACTATCATACAATTATATACAGGCAGAGTATACTTTGTTCCCTTGATATTGTTTACAATTACAGAAAATGCAACCACTAGTGGAAACTGGGTATGAGTGAATCCTCTCTACCATCTTTGCAACTTCCTGTGAATCTATATTCCAAAATTTAAAGTTGTTAACCATTTTAACACAGTTAGTTGTAGGAGACATACCTTAGAACATTGCTTGTGATTCTGGCACCAAACCAGGGAACCATTGTTCTGCAAAAAGAAAAAGAAAGGTCAACCCATTAAATAATTCTGTAGTAGAACACCACACACGTGTATGTGCACAATTTTTAAAAATATTTGCATAACAAAAGCCCAATATTGCAACACTGATGTGTTTCTCTCTTCCTAAGATAGAAAACATGATTCTAATGTAAAGCCTGCTTTGTCATTGACTTCATGATGGAAACAAAGGCACCCAATAATAAAGATTCCAAGCTGTAAAAGGGAAAGGGGACTGAGCCAATGTCCATGGTGTGCTGAGCCAGGAAAGATACACCCGCAGAAAAATGAACTCTAGACATTTATTCCATAGTAAGCAGATTGGGTAAATTGACAAGTTGAGCATCTTAGAGGATTTTGATCTCACCCCATTTGCAAAGAGTTTGAGCTTGGGTATCAGACCACAAATGCCAACAAGCCTCTCCTCTTTTACTGGATGTGTATTAATAGTCCCATGCCCCATGTTACCAATGAGTAAACAAGTATAACAGCAATATGTCATGCATCAGGTAACTGGGAAAGCTAAAAGAAACTAGTTGTGTTACACTTCACCATGGGGAATCTTTCTGAGAGGCGTCAGTAGATGATTTGTATACCACATGAAGAGCCTAACAGTGTACTACAGCTATATACAAAAACCATTTAGCATGGTTTAACCTTCACTCAAACATGATGATGATGATTTATTGACCTGAACATTAGAATCTATGCTTGGTAATGAACTTGTTCCACCCATGTAAGATTTTGGACATGGTGTTTCCTTTGGTTGTGATATTTGAAGTCAGATTACACTAGCTGAAATGCTTGGGAAAGCTCGTAGAAACCATCACCCAACATGTAAAATGCCAAGCCCCTGAGTTCTTTAAAGTTCGAGGTCAGAGATGAGAAAAAAATGGCCCGTTTTCTAGGTTTGAATCTCTAAACTTTTAATTTGAAGATATCTGTGTGTATAGAGTAGTCGTACATGTGTTTGCAGTTATGAGAAAAGAAAGTTGAGCCCATACCACAGCTTTCAAAAATATTTTTATAAGCAGGTTTATTGAGATATAATTCACATACCATAAAATCCACTCATTTAAACCATGTAATTCAACAACTTTAGTATATTCACAAGGCTGTGAAACCATCACCACTATCTAACATTAGAACATTTCCATGAGCCCAGAAAGAAACCTGTATCATGTGAAATCACTCTCGATTTCTCTCCACTCCACTTCCTTGGAATCCACCAATCTATCTCTATAGATTTACCTATTCTGGATCTCACATAAATGGAATTATGCAACATGTAGTCTTTTGTTTCTGGCTTCTTTTGATGAAAATAATGCTTTTTGTTAAGCTAAATGGTACAGCACTTTGCTTCCTCCATATTTAATAGATATGGGTCCTTCATTCTTCTATATTCCTTTGTATGCACACACCATATTTTGCTCATCCTCTCTCAATAATGGATCTTAATATGTTCTCTGCCCAATAATACAACTTGAGTTACAGGATTCACAATATTTCTAAGTAGATCTCAGCTGTATAGGATTAGAAATCTTTCTCCTATACGTGAAGATCGTTGGGCTCAAAGATCTGAGTCCTACCTTAACACTTCAGCTCTTCAGCCTCTCTCTCTAACTCTTTTGTAGCTTCAACTCCCAATAATTCATACAAATACCTAGGATGTTAGCCAAAACAGATCCAGCTTACCTACCTCACTACTGAGGTCCACAACCTCACATGGTCCCTTCATCTGTCTGTCTGTCTGTCTGTCTATTGACTGATCGATCTATTCATTGGTCAGACAAATGAGGACTGAATCTGGGGAAATATATGAACTATGTGTGACTTTTGGAAGGGTTTCGATCTAGGAAAGAATTCGATTGAGAAGAGGCCAAAGCGGGACACAGGGTGGCCGTGGCCTGATCACCGCAGAATGAGGTGCTAGCGGTGAGGAGGCCAGAAGGAAAGCACACTGTGCACTTTGACATGTTACGAAGGGAGCCACTGAGTTGGTAATGAACGTAAAGTCCACCGTGACAGCCAGCAGACTGAAGAGTGGTCATAAATGAGGTAAGAAGCACACAAAGCAGGGCTGGAAATTAAAAAGTAGAAAATGCAGAAGCTGAGAGCAAGGACCAGAGAGCTACACGATGCCCACACTCAATACCTCACCTGGGAAGGGTCTATGAGGTCTTATTTTTTTTAATTTGTTATTTTGCTTATGATTTTTCCATTAGAGAATACAAAATTTAAAACACAGAAAAGTGGAAAAACGTACCAAATCTGACCACTTAGTTAAGAGTCACTGTCCATGTCTCGGTGTTCTTCACATATTGATTGATTCATTTAATAAAAATAGGACTTGAGCCCTCCAGTGCAGCATTAGGCATTAGGGAGCTCAGCAAACACAGAGGTTTACCCTGAGTGGAGCCAGCTCCACGGAAGCAGATCCCGGCCCCAACACAGGCACCATGACCCTTGCTCAGGAGTAGAAGGCAGAGGAGCCCGTGCTAGAGACTCAGGGCTAGAGTGGGTGACCAGCACTTGGAGCCTGGGTCAGGCCAGTTTCGTCCAAGTTTTACATTCCACTCCCAACTAGAGTGTCACAGAGATGGGGCTGCTCATTATTATTATTATCCTTGCCTATCTGTGTCATTCTAGCAACAGAGCCGCTCTAGGTTCTCCTAGGGATGGCATCCACGGCCACCTAAGGGTGGCTGTGGCTAGTAGGTGAGTAGGGCCGGGCATGTAGCTCACAGGTAGAGCATGTGTTTAGCGTGTGGGAGCCCCTGGGTTGGAGCCCCAGCTGCATACACCTGCGCGTGCACACACAGACAGACACAGAGAGAATATTTGGCAACTAACACTTGCCCTCAAAATATTTGTTGACAAAATATTACTGATGCGGCAACATGCCTTTGACATTTATTTTTTATCTACTAACTTTTTAATTGTTCATGTACTTATTAGAGATGGAATCTTACTATGTTATCTAGGCTGGTCTCAAACTCCTGGACTCAAGCGATCCTCCTGGCTCAGTCATCAGAGAAGCTGAGACTATGGCCTCTGGCTCCCTTTCACTATTGTTATTGTTACAATTATTCTATTGACCACGTTTATGTGACAGGTACCTGCCTTGGTATTTTGGATACCTGCCCTACATACATAACAATGCCAGATAACCACACAAGCTTCATCTGCCCATTTTACAGTACAGAACCTGAGAGGGAAGAAAAAAAGACAAGGAAAATATCCAGAACCTTGAAGCCAGTGACCAAACTCGGTGAACAATACAATAAGCAGCACTAGTTAAGCAAAGGGTTGAGGTTTCCAGGCCCCTGAAGGGTCCAGATCTGCACTGTTAGAAGAAGAGCTAAGCACTGACCCAGAGGGTTCACAGACAAAGACCACCATAGAGACAGAGGACAAACAAACTCCTGAACCCTTAACCTGTCAGTCTTTAAAAGCCTACAGGTGCCCAATGGTAAAATTCATTGTATAATCTATGTGTTTTTTACCTTAACATCTGGGGTCAGATGCCTGCTCAGCTACACATATAGGCATGGTAATCACTGAGGAAGTATCTGTCTAAAAGCAGGTAATACAAAGTTGATTGGCCTAAATTTATGTAGCCCAGCTCATCCCCCTTCAAGACTGGGAAGATCAAGATAAGAGATTTACAAGGACATTCAGCTAACAATGGACACCCAGAAGTCTTGAGTCATTGTTCTAAACCTTCAATCCCTGCAGAGCCTTCACAAGACTGGGACTGACCCAAGCAAAGACAGTCATCTCAGGGATACCAGACTGTCCTCACAAACAATGAGGACTTCCCGGAGCTACCTTGCAAAAGCAGAACTAAGATAAGGATCTGGCAGGCCCACCCCATGAGACACCAAGGACCTTCCCTGGGCCAGGCTGAGGTTTCTTCTCTTCAGGAGCTGTGGCTCAGACCCTGTCTAGTGACAGCTCTAAAGTCCATGTTCAGGAAGCAGCAGATCGGATGGATGAGATGCAGAGAAGAATAGAAGAAGAGATCAGGTAAATAGGTAGAAAGCAGATCACAGCGAATTTTGACTTATCTGTGGAAATACTTTTTTAAATTCAGTAAATGTCAGAGTTAATTTAAAAAAAAAAAAAACAGGAATGGAGCAATGAGAATTCCTGTACATGGTGCACCTTAATTAGCTTCTTCTGTCCCCTTTAACTGTATGAAAAATGGCCAAATTTCAGCAAAAGCAGCTGTAAAGAATCCATCAAAAAATGCCTTCATTTCCTGGTCTTCAATTTCCAAATTGAAACCCTTTGCCCTGCTGCAGGCTGGCTTTCATTCTTTCTGGAAATCCCATACTTCATATCCTATTGGCTCACACACAACCATCAATATCAACATCAACATCAGAAAGACCAATAGCCACAGAGCGGGTCAGTTGATTCGCTTAACTTTTATTGACAATTCATGACAATATATTACCTCAATCAAGGCATTTCAATTTCAGCAAAATTTTCCACTAGTCATACAATGAAAAGCTCTGTCACTGCAAAGAAATATTTGGGGCAATTGCAAGCCAGCATGAAAGATTATTATGATTAGGATGTTTTGTGACTAGTAAAGACACTGTGTCGGAGAACACTTAGGAAGATTAAAAAAGATAATCTATGCAGAGTATTTAGCAAAGTAACTCTGTTGACACAGAATTAGACGTCAGAAAAAAGAAGTTCATGGTGATTACCACTGTGATTTTGTAATTTTCCATTATTGTTGATTTTAGGAGTAGATGAATGATCCTAAACTTGAAATCTCCCAGCTCTAATGGATAGCACTCATCCTAGACTAACTGATCCAATCTTATTAGTGAGATTCATATTTACTATTTGCAGTGCCGGGGGTGGGATGCAAGGTCTGGCTAGGCAAGCCCTCTAGCGCTGAGCTGGACCCCCAGGAAGAAGTATTCGTGGGGTGGCTACCACGTTTTGCTCCCTGGGTGCTAGCACATTTGTCC